AGAACTAGTTGACATTTGAATGCTTTAATTATGTCAAACATGTTCGTAATGATATGATCTTTCCTTGTAACGATAAATTTAAATCGGTTAAGTGTTTTGGTTACATCAACCAAGAAAGATAAATCTTGTATCCATATTGGAAATCGTAAAACAAACTTACGTCTTGATTTTTCGTTTTTAAAAACTGACATATTTCTTCTTTCAAATCCCAGAATTGTTTGAGAATCTTGGAGCAAGATAACTAACGTACCTCGGTATAGTAAGACAAACCCGAATATTCATTATCTTAACTCACTTAAGAAAGCAGTGAATTGACGCTGATTTAAACCTCGAGATCTTATAAAATTTATAACTTTTTTTATATATGACAAAACATTCTCCATATTTATTACTTTCGTGCATAGAACTTCTTGATTATAATACAATGCATATGATGAATGTTTGAACCGTGAATTTCACTAAGTTTTTTTCTTAGTAATGCTACGAAGCCCTTGTTTTTCCCAGTCATTCATGGAGCGCCATCTGTAGCTACAGAATTTAATTCTGCCAAAGGTAGATTGTATTTCGGCAGAAGTCCAAAAACACAAGTAAATATATCTTCTCCTGTGGTAGTACCAGGCATCGGTATTAGTTCCAGTAATTCCTCAAAAATGTTAAAATTCTTGTCACAAGAACGAAGAAACACTGCTAATTGAGTTTTGCCATTAATGTCCGTGCTCTCGTCACAGGCAATGGAGAAACTTTCGAAACTAGATGATTTTGCTTTGATCTGATCACTTAAATTCGCGGCTAAATCAGTAACTCTTTCCGCAACTGTATTTCGAGACAATGAAATTCATTGAAAAGCCTTCACATTTCCAGCACAAACAATTTCTCCAGCTTTATTTATTCTTTCCACAAGAGATAAATCAAATTGCTGAAATATTTCTTCAAAAATATTCTAACAATATCACAAAATGTCAAATGTTTAGCAAAAATCAATTCAAAACAGAGAACTAATTCTATCTCACAGCGAAATCGCTACAAATCAATCACAGCATTAAGTAAACAAACAGTTCGCTAGAACTACAGCTACTACTGAGATGAGTTGTTTGTTCTCGGCTTTTTAAGCTTTATAATTAATTTCTTGAATATACTGGAAACATCTATAAATATCTGGATTTTTGTGGATGACAACAGCAATTACGAGATATTTATTTATTAGGTATTAAATGCACACGCTGTTCTATTTTTAACCTTCCAACACAGCTGTCTTTTCAAAAATTGTCTGCGTTGCTAAGGCAACATGAAGCAAATCTAATTACAATTCTAAATAAAAAAAAAACTAAATAAATGAATAACTATGAAATCCGTAACAATATGAATTAAGTAATAATTAATAATAAAGCGAAGTGCATGAATATGCATGCACCAATATATCGTACAAAACTATGATTGGAAAACTGAGACCATGAGTTCGGCCACATTCGGCTATCGGGGGATGCGTACAAGTTCTGAGTGCACGTGTCCCCGAAAAGCCGAAGGTAGCTGAACGCAAGCTACTCACACACATTTGTAATTTATGTAGTGTATGTGTCAGCTCGATGTGAGTAATCTAACAACACTAAATAAATTATCGTTAATTACTTAGCAGTAAACATTTCATTTTTTTCTTCGTCGATGTTATTTTATTATTATATATTATTATTTGCCGATATATTGGCCGGGCCGCAAAAATATTTGTTGTGGGCCACGAGTTTGACATCCTTGCTGTAGATGATTGATCCCATCCAGTATTTTTCATTTTATTATGAAAATTGTTTAAAAAATGCATGCTTGCAAAAATTTTATTTTTTCTGTGTAAATTATTATTATTACTTTCTTTCTGTTTATTATTTTTTTTATAAATTATTACTATCATTTTCTTCCTGTTTAATTATTTTTGTATTTAAGAATAAATTTATTGCAAAAGCTGGAAATATTGTATCGCTATTTGCTTCAAATGCTAATTTTCTTTACAAAGAAACTTCATGAATTAATTTTACTAAAACATCAAATCAATATCAAGAATCTGCTGTTTTTTTTACAGTAAAAATATTACTTTAAAAAAAAATTATTTTCACTTATTTAAGAATAGTCACAGTAGTCAATTCAATGGTGTAAGCTTTGTAAAGTAATAAAAGATTAATCTTTTGAGAAAATGCTCTTATGAATTCCAAGAAGGAAAAAATGTAGTGAAATATCCTTAAAACAACAGTCAACAGTTTTGTCTCCTGTTGAAGTTCTGTTCTGTTTTTTTAATTATGTTCTCCATGAAAGGAATTTATTTTTAATGAAACTGAATAGCACACTTAATTCATAACATGGACTATAATTTAATGAATAGTATTTTTTATTATCCACTCTTTATTACTATTATTTGAATGGAATTTTGATCATTAAATTCATGCTATTTCTCTGGTAGAAATTCCTGGATAAGGTATGAATGTTTATAATTTTGGTGTATTTGAAGACTTGGGTACCTAAAATTTGTCAATGTGAAATTACTTTTGAGATATTGTTCGTAAATAGACAGCATATGTTGAAATTAAATTCAGGGGTGCGGCCTATACAGCATATGTTGAAATTAAATTCAGGGGTGCGGCCTATACATGCAAATTATTAGAAATAGATGTATACAAACAGCTGGCAACACAGTAAAATGTATTTAATGATTGAGCATAAAATACATTGTTGGGTGAACGTTTCCTGATATTGTACTAGTTGTGGTTGCTGGTTATGGTGACCAGTTGTGGGATACTAGTACTAGTGATAATTGATACTGGTAGTGCAGCCAACTACTGTAGTGATCGACAGTGACAGTGAATAAGGAGTGAGTGCTAAGCACATGTTTCACTGTCACAGAAACTTCTCATTGAAAATTAGGTAAGTACTGTTTTCCGCCTAACTGCTTTCACACCTGCAAAATGGAAAAATATTATATACAGGCTATCTGTCAGTTATCCTCAAGATTTTTTTTAATTAGGCATATTTAGAATATTGTATTTCTTCTAAGAGAAATTATATATAAAAATTGAAGAAGGTTTTATATATATAAATATGCATGTGCATGTTTATAGTATAAAGAGTACAATGCAGAAATATTCCATACTGCTTTGCACAGAAATATGGGCCAACCAAGTATTGGTCTTTCCAAAAAATATATCTAGACCTTTTCATTCTTTTTCTTTTTTAACTTCTTCCGTTACCTCTTTCTTGGCTTATAAGAAGGGCAGACAAAAGAGCATTCTGTTGAACCAGTAAAACTTTGTGGTGAGCTGAAAAAGCCATGACACAAAATAACGAAAACAAGCAGAGCGAGCATGGGAAATCAATCGAGCTAGAAACCAGCCAAGCGAAAGGTGTAGACACATCCATGCATGCGCAAATTTAGCTACTCTTATTGGCCATAGCTTAGACCCCCGTCTCGCAGGTGTGAACGGATGTCCCGTATTTTATGCCCTTATGACTATGCCTCTATGCTCTTTATGCCACCGTCTGAACAAAGCTTAAGATGGTGAGACATTGTAGATAATGGAGGAAAATATATAACTGATTAAAATGTTAAATTGTGTTTTTTTATATTATTTAAAAATTTACCAAAAAATGCTCATGAATTTATGGACTGACCCAATATTTGGATATAAATGGTACCTAATGTGTTAATACTCATTTTAACATTGAACTGAGGCACGATTTTATGTGATTTCCCTTTAATTACTATTCTTCAGAGTGCCAGAAATATCTTTCTCAGACTTCCTATTCCTACTGACAAGAATATGCATTCAAAAAATTGTAATTAGGTACACAAAATGCATCTAGAAATATGTCCAAACAGTTAAAGTAATACACATATTAGAAAAAAAGGAATCGAGGTATAAGTTGGAAGAATAATATTGGAACTACATTGGAAAAAAATATTTACTCTTGATTATTTTGGCAACTGTAGGCTTTGTGGCTTAACACTTGGTTGCTTAGAGAGTTAACCTACCATAAATTAGTTGCAGTACATTTGTCCATGGTTATTTTGATAACATTAAATAATGAGAAAAAATGTCCTTCAAAAACAGCAATGGAATTTAACTACTTTAATATAAATAAGTATTTTCTCAGTTTTTTAATTCAGAAAATGCAGACATTTGTCTATTAGCTGTTCATAATGTGTGTAACATAAAAGCTGATTAATGAACTTTCATGTCATACAAATGGGCAATTCTTGGAGAGCATCCCTCATTTACTGGAAGAGAAAATGCAAATGTAAAATTTAAAATTGGGCTAAAAAAGAACATTTAGTTTGGCATAAATGTTTTCCAAGTATATTTTTCCCTGCAGGAGCTGGGTGGCTCTGCAGAAATATTTTTGCATCTAAAGATGAAGAAATTGTGTCTGATCACCCTCAGAATCTGTACTTAAACTAAGATTGCTTTTTTGCCTAATTTTAAATGGTTGGCTAAAACAAAAACAAGCTGTTTGGTAACTTAACCTATTGGTGACATTTATTGGGCATTTGACTATTTTTACAATATATTTTGACAGTCCGTTGCTTAACTTAAATTAAAATGAATTATTCTGTAATACTTCAATACTATTAACTGAATTGTTAATCACAATGAACAATGTGTTTGCCATATTTTTGTATGCAAATGGGCGGGACTTTGGCAATTTCATAATATTATCTAAATGATATTATTATTTGCGATCATGATCTGCAACACCTGCTGCATTATTTTAGCTATTTATTGTTTCCATCATTTTCTCTTGTGTTTGAATAAAAAAAAGCTTCTGAGTTTTTAAATTTTCTTTATTATTATTGAATTATGAAACTATTGAAATTTAATGTGATAATTTACATTTATGTATTCTTAATTTTTTGTATGTATTTCCTTATTTGAAAATAGTATAAAAGTGGTAAATAGCATACTACGCTGTTTCCCTTTAGTAATATGATGTTTTTAAACAGTTTTCCTTTGTCTGTTTTGAAGGTTTTAAGGCCATCTTACCATATAAGAAATCTGAAATTTTGGAGTGATGTTTATCTACCAAACAATTCTGTCAATCTTGGAAGATCGACTATGCCTCCAGTCGAAGAACCTCTTCCAGAAGAAAATCTGGAAAAATCTAATCTCGTGAAAACAAAATCATGTGATAACATACCATGTGCTGAACATTCTTTAACTTTGCAACGGCGTAACAGTGACCCTAACATAGTAGAAAATACTTTTATAGAACCCGTACTTTATCCACATATTCCAGAATATACTGAAAAAATCTCTACTCATAACTCGAACATAATGGAAAATTCAGTGCTAAGTAATCTGTGCAATGGCTTTGGTGCTGATAGGTCTGAATTAGATGACTTAGAAAGGACAGGTAGTAAAAGCTTTGGAATTTCACATTCAAATTTAGTTTTGAAGGAACCTACAATCGATGGTTCCACTGATACACTAGTCAGTGAAAATGGCGCATTAGTTCAAGAACAGTGTAGAAATGAATCCAGTCATACAAACAGTGGTGAGACATTTTCGTATTCAAAGTTAACATGTTCAGTCAGTACAAGTACCACCGATCTACCTTTAACGGTGGAAGGTGTCTTGCAGTCTGTGACACAGAATATCAGTTATATTGATAGTAAGATGCCAAATTGGTGTCAAAATGTGATTGGTGCTTTTATTAGCAATAAGAGGAACAGCGATACATCAAATTCGTGCAGCTGTAGCTACACTAACCAATAAATATTCAAGTTTACATGAATTTATGTATTCAATGTAAACTACGATACATACGTACTTTATGCATCCAAGAATTATTGTATATATATATAAAGGTCAACAGCCATACTAAGTAACTCATAACTAATATATATATGATAATGTAATCAACTAATCAAATGTTTTTTATTGTATTCAAGTATTCATTATATAACTAGTATTTAAATGTATAAACGATATTCATAACATAATTATGTATCTAATATAACAACGCATGGTGTATACTCAAATAACGCATGCCCCAAATAATGAATGTAAACAGGTCTAATGTATGTCTTACCGTAATCAAGCTGTCAAGTACATAACTAATGTATTCATGTAACTTTATGGTGTATCCAATGTATTAATGTATTGTATTGAAGGATCATATTCCGTGCATTTAAGAATTATTATTATTATTATTGTTATGTTGTTCTAGGACTCGAGAGCTGCCGGTTCAAGATAGTAGAGGGCGTGGAACACATACCTGCTTACCATTGTTAGACATCAGGTGTCCTCCTTCCTCCGTCACCTGTCACCTGTTTAGACGTTACATCGAAATATAAAAGTCAACATTTTTCTTATTTAAGCACATCTCTAAGGTAAGGAAAGGCTGTACATTAAGGAGAAGGGACTCTCAGATCTCAGATTTAAGAAACCCTTACACAGTTATAATGCCCCAACACTTAGGGGGCAATATAAATGTGTAACCAAGGAGGCGTAACCTCCCGGTCAAAGCAGGGGGACAACATTACATATCGTCATGGTTCACGGAATAAGTCAATGGCGACCAGCAAGCAGTCACCAACAAAAAGAATGAAGATACGTCATAGATTGTCCCCAGTGTTAATCAAATGGAGTCAAACCACCAAGGACAACTTTCGATATCTCACCATGTAACACCCGCATGGCAGTACCAGTACGCTACCTGTCGATCCTGAAACCTACCACCCAATAACCGATGGTTATTGGATCGCTGTGAATACTAATTATTGACCGCAGGACGGAGTCCGCCTAGGGTCTGATCCTAGCCAGAAGGTTAGACGACCCGCTAGGGAAATACAAGGAAAGGTAGTAGACAACAGCAAAGCATTGTGTTTGAACAAACTACTGTAAATTTTTTAACTCTTTGGAAATGCCTACACCTTTTTACTTGCCTTTTGTAACTAAACTTTTGTTACATCATCCTTAAATGTAAAGTCCCAATCACATGATGTTTCGGCTACGTGGGACTTGACGTCGAAAGGGACAGTTCTCAGAACCAGCACAATTCCGGGAAACACAAGTAGCTAGGTTCACCATTCTCTCTTACAAAAAAGAGTTGAACGCCAAACAGTAATCGAATATCGCTCAAATTGAGATCACGTGATCCTTCAGAAGTAGAACTTTCGTCTGATTGGTTGTCTCTACCCGGTGTCCGAGACATTTCGGTGAGGTTTGAAAAATCCGACACATTATTTCCGTAGTTAGGTGGGACTTCGCTTCCAGCGGGGCTCTTTTTCCTAAGAATCCTCCCATTTAAACCAGTACTATCAGAATCACGTTTCTCAGAAAAGTCCCGTCTAGCAGGAAATGTAGCCATATGTGATAACTGTTTAAATCACCAGCATTGCTGCACTCCATTTTTAATTTGCATCTTTCTTCCATGGTTGCAATTTGGTGATGAAAGCATTTTCCATGCTCACTGCTGACATTACCATAATTATCAGCAGAGAAATTCAATTAAGAATGGATAGCAAATATTTTCACTGTTATTCAGCACCCAATCGCTTCATATAATAAGATTTTAAAATATATCTTCGTAGTTCACAACTCTTTTGCTCTCCACGAATCCTTAATATGGTAGAGAACATATATTCCAAGCTGTATGTTCATCATCACTAACTTTCTGATGGAATTGATTCTCATTTCCCTAAATTTCTGATAGTAATCAAGTACTGAAGGTCCAAAAAATACATTTTCTTCCGCTGTACCCAAACGTAAGCATGGAAATTTGACGCTAAAGTATACGAAGGTCATAGCTGCAATATCTCTATATCTGGAGTACTGCTGTTTTCCAGCAATGTTTCTCAGCTGTAAGGAAAAGAAGACAGATGCAGGATTGGCAAGAAGTGCAGCTCAGGCTTTGATGTTGTTTCATACCATTTTGCGATGCTGTGGGAGAAGAGATCTTTGTACACTCTGGAAATTTTCCTGTAGTCATTCGGGTGGCTCAAATTCATGCAAGTTATGTAACACTTGTATCTGCCAGGTTTTTGATGTATGAGATGTTGCATATGGGAATTCAGACCTCAGTAGTGCGGCATAGGTTTTTCACTGTTGGTGGTGTTTTTAGCTTAATGTTCCTGAGGGTTTTATTCAATTCATCGTTTCATTATTTGTGAGAGCTAAACATTTCATGAAGTCAACTATTTTATTTTTTATACCACTAACTTTTAACGGGGTTCTTTTGCAGTTTTGTGTAGTGTTTCATGCTTTATGAAATAATGCTGTTTTTGATTTTTCTTCGGGACCATTTATTTAATTACTTTTGCATAGTGTTCGAATATACTGATTGTTTCACTGGCATTGTTTTCAGTATTTGGCCTATTCTTTCGTGGAGAACCTATAAGGTATTTCCTCTCTCTTTACTGAGTGCTTTCATTTTGTAACTAGGTAGCATGTCTGGGCAAACTGGATGGTTACGGAATCAAATGGGAGGTTTGGTGTTGGAAACGCACATTTTCCACATCTCTTTCGAGTAACCTCATGACTCTTTAAACTAATTCTTTTTCGTCTCAGTTATCAAGTAACTTTCTTGCTGTTCAAATCTCTTGAATGATAGGTTTCGAAGGTTTGCGCTTAGGCAGAATCCTTGCAGGAAGCATTTCTCTGGAAGCTGAGTTTGGGAATTATTTTGCAGAACATTACATTTCCTGTTTACTCTGTCGATCATAAGCTATTGCCCTTTTTTAATATTATACATTCTTAAAATCCTCACTTCTTTAATTCGATCAGATATTATTTCATTGCATGTTTGATTTTTTCTTCCTGACACTGTAACAATTTCGTAATACTCCATTGAAATAAAAGTAGCGAGTTCTGAGTAAGCAAAGAAAGAAGTGAGAACGTACGTTTTCAGGTTTCTGCTAATTTTAGAGGCTATTAAGAAGTAACAGAGTTTTTCTATAAATTTCCATAGAGATACTGGCAGCATGTCAAATAAACTACGAATATTTCCTAATTACAAGTTTCCCCCATTTGACCAAAGAAGAATATTTCTGTAAAAATCTTAATGTGTCTCTTCGACGTCTTCCCATTTACCGAATAAATATGCTGCTGTTGGTCATTAATAGAGTGAAACAATGTAAAATGAACATTTCTAGACAGTTCACACGGATACTTACGAAAGAGTATCAGTTTAAATCAGAAGAGAAACACGCTTAGTGAAAAATATAAAATTAGTAAAGAATCAATTTTGTATTTGGCTTAGATTTAGACAAAAAATCAATCAATTTCAAGGATAAACAGGTCTCTTACCCTCAAGAACAAAGGAATTCGCAAGCCTGGAAAGCCTGCTTTGACGCTTTGGTACATATTCTGGGATTTAATCCTGCTCCTTAACAAATCACTTCAGGAATCCCACGTAGGACTTCGCTTTTGAAAGGCTCATCACATCTGATTCACCATAGAAGTGAGATCAGAAGGAGTAAAAGGTAGTAAGGCACGTTGCCTCGGTAGTCTGACTGAAAGGTGGGAAAAGGAGATGAAATGGCTGGATTAGAGTGTCCAATCAGGAGCTTCAGTACAGTCACATGATTACAAGAAAGCAGCAGAGAACAATGAAAAGTTATTTACAGTACATACAACATTAGTCTTGTAATATATCAAATTGTGGGAATTGGAAAGCAGCTGGCGGGAACGGTCCTATTTAATCCCTGCTGCAGTAGAGCTAAGATGTAGGTTGCGCCATCTGTCGGCAAAATTAGTAACGAAAAATAAAAAATTAAGATAATAGAATTTTAAAGAAAGGACAGGATTGGACTTAAAGTCAAACTAAACAAGCTAAGTCTTTATGAATGTGAAAAACTTCAGAAGAACCTAATTTGCCAATGGAAGAAGCATCAATTTTCGTTACTAATACTGCCGACAGATGGCGCGTCCTTGATATTTGCTTTACTGCAATAGGGTATAAATAGGACCATTATCCAGCTGCTTTCCAGTCGTGCAAATGTCTTCCCTCCTGATGAAAAGGTACCTGTTTGCCTTTGGAATAGATTCAGCTTTTTATCTAAATCTACACCAAATTAGTATTTCTTTACTAATTGAGGATCAGTTTATCTTTTTTTCTGCTTACACGTTACGAATATAGATTCATAAAATATATTCAACAGAAAAGATGTTGACTTAACACATATTGTCGACTACATACTCTCTCATAACAAGCCAACTGAAATCATGATTATTGTTGGTTGTGTACTATATTTATCAAACAAAAGTCCATATCCTTTGTAGACTTTTTCCTGCTGTAATATGGAAAAATAGAAATATATAATAATATTTCCTCACTCATTTCATTTTCTGTTGCTGACTACACGTTCTGAAGGCAATCGCAAATTCATTTCGTATCTCTTCTTAGCTCTGTATTGCATCATAATAAAATAATCAAAATATATTTCCGTTGCTTATACTGAGCTCTGTGGAATGAATAAATTTTATTCTGCATCTTTTATTATCCATATTAATGAACAAGTCGTTGTACGAATGTGTTATTAAAGACAGTGGTTTTAACTATACGTTGGCTGGTGTAATTTGGTTAAATTATTTAAATTGATACATAGGGCTACAAGCCACCAGTGTATCTGCTCTTTAAATATCACTAGAGTAGAAATATAAAATTGCCTGGAGAGCAATGCTGATGAAAGCCAATTTTCTAAGAGAAGCCAATTTTTCTTGTGGAACTAACTTCTCGGCCGCTACGTGTTTCGGCATCTAAATATTGCAAA